ACGAAAAGTGAGAAATCTAACACAAGCATGTCAAATGCCAACCCTTGGGAGACCAGACTAATCCCCTCCTACCCCCCAACACACACGCACACACACACACACACAAGTACTGAGTGGAGGGGGAAACTAGCTTGCAGGATATGGTGAAGGTGGAAGAGGGACTACAGACTTCTGCATTTAGAACTGTTAGGGCATGGGCTGCATAGCAGTGACCTCTTTCCAGCAGTTCACCTTGTTGAGGGGCATTTGTTGCCCCACCATCATGTCACCTCTGAAGGTTTGCACAGTTTCAGTACAAGGGTCAGGGGGTCTTCCAGGGTGCAAGGCTGACCACAAGAATTTACTTAGATTTTTCTCCCTGATGAAAGCCCCCCAATTCTCCCAGCCCTCTCTCTCATAAACAGCAAACTTGTGACACTATTTGAGCAACTTGTTTCAGTCTAATTCACTGTTAAGCCTCGACCCAACTACCGTTCATGAACTAGTATGACAATGAGGGTTCCTTATCCCTCTTCACCCTCCACTTGCAAGCAAAGGCACTTGCTACTGGATCCCAGGGAATTTTTTCTTATCTACAAGCCTAGTCCATGTGCTTCCATTTCAGAGATCCATGTCTCTATCGGTATCGAATCCTTGTTGTCAAAGCTGTTGGGTCTGGAATTTTATTTTACTTTACTTACAAGCTATGAGTTAACCTGTTACTGATTCATGGTTACTGGCAGAAAACACAAGACTCCTAAGTCAGACACAAAAGACTGTATTATTCACAGCACAGCAAACATGAGCATCAGTATATTTGGATAGGCTCCCCTTGCCTCCAAGACAATATGTAGTAGGTTGCTCTGCTGCTGAGCTTAAGATGGAAAAATGCACTGCGTTTCTAGCAAGCAGTAAGCAAGACTGCTCTTTGTTCAGGGGAAGACCTTACCACATCTCTTGAGGTTATTGAAAGAACTCTGAAAAATGGTCCAATAAAAAGACAGCCAAGTCAGGAACCAGCAGTTAGCGTAATGGCTATGTCGCTGGACTCCTACGTAGTCAACCGCGGTTCGCGTCCCGGACCCGGTGGCTTAAAACTCATGCCAGGCGTGTGTGCGTGCCTGCCCAAGATCCCGAGAGGAGAATGGAGGAGAAGGGATTGCAGCGTGACCATCCCCCCTGGGGCGTGATTTCTCGCTTTCTGTCTCTATATCTCTCTGTTTATCTGGCGAGCGCACGTGCCCTATAGCGAAAACCTCTCTTAAAAAAAAAAAAAAAAAGACAGCCAAGTCAACACTGAAGGAAATCATATACTTAACTTAGAAATAAAATGTGGAATCTTCTTTTATTTCTTAGTTTTGCTATGGAGCATGTGAGCTCCCTAGAGAGAGACAGAGAAAGAGAAAGGAAGAGAGAAAGCATCCCCCACCCCCAGGAGATGGCCACGTCACAATTCCTCTCCTCCTCTATTCTCCTCTTAGAATTTTGAGCATGCACACACATGTACCTGGTGTGTTTTTCAAGTCACCTAGTCTAGGACTCAAACTGTTAGTCATCCATGTGGGATCCAGCCACTTTAACCCCCATGCCACTGGCTGGCCCCAGTGTGGAATCTTTTTTTTTATTATTTATTTTTATTTTATTTTTATTTTGGAGAGGTTTTTGCTATAGGGCGCGTGCGCTTGCCAGACAGACAGAGAGATAGAAAGTGAGAAATCTATTGGCGGCGTGGCCATCCCCCCCAGGGGGGTGATTTATCTCATTCTATCTCTCTGTCTCTCTCTGTCTGTCTGGTGAGCACACGTGCCCTATAGC